GGGGCTGGGGATTTAGCTCAGTGGCAAAAGCGCCTGCCTGGCAAGCGCAAGGTCGTGAGTTCGGTTCCCTGTACCAGAGAAAAACCAAAAAAAAAAAAAAAAAAAAAACCTGCCGACTGATGGCTGACGTACAAGATGACAGGCAAGGAGGTGTTTTCCATTGGCTGCACGTGTGTGTCCCAGTGTACAGCTCCTCTGGACTCAGCAAGGCATGGGACTCTGCTGCTATTGTATAATTATGGACGCACGACGGCTTCTTCACAGAGAACACTTAGGAAAGAAAACCATGGTGAATTCAAAACAAAAAACACCTCTTTTTCATTAGTATTATTACTAACTAATTTTAAGCATTATTTAAACTTCCTAGATTTCTTATCCAGATCCGTGTGTGCAGATATAGCCCGAGCTCTGCCCTCACGATGTTGAGCACTTCAGAGGAGAGAGCTGTATCTATTGCCAAGGGCACAGTCGTTGGATCCTGACTCTACTCATAGATGGAATACAGAGACCGAGCGAAGGCTAAGGGACCTCTTCCCCGGTCACACACGGTTGCCCCTAAATCCTCAGTTCCTTAACTCTTAGGTGAGACCTCTTTACACGAGATGATGCTGTGTCTAGAGCGACAGTAGCAGCTGGAAGCAATTAATCAACTTCCTCCCCTCTTCAGCTTCCCTTTTCTACTTTCTGATAGAGCTACTCTTGGACTGAAGAATAATGCAGCAACCACTCCTGCCATCTCACCTGTATCTGCCTTGCTCAGATACAGGTCTTTCAGCTAACCCAAGTGGACATGCTCTAAAGAGTGCTCTTCAGAAACCAACCAGGATTGTGGAAGGTGGTTGTCCTGTCTCAGATCTACAAAGCTGGTGTAAAAATCTCCTCTAACTCAAACTTGTTCTGATTCTGTAGTCCCAGACCCACCACCAGGTCTTTCTTTTCTACACGGTATTAGCAACAGGACAGCAGCTTGTGAGCCCTCATACCGGAACCGAGCGCTGAGGGGGAATGCTGGGTAGGATGGAGCCACAAGCACCCACAGAAGAACAGAAACAGAGGGTGGGAGTGTGGACGCAAACCACAGGCTGCGCATCCTGGTGCCGGATATGAGGCAAGAAAGAACTCCATCAATTCTCAGACAATAAGGTCAAGGAAATAAATTCTTCTGATGACAATAGGATGGTGGTGAATTTATTAGTATGATTATAGTGCTGGATGTTTATGCTCAACTTAAACTGGAAAATCAGCAACTGCATTGCTTGATCTTTATCATCAATTTCCTTTCATTGGGTACACAATTTTAAGATCATCTCCAGGTTTCAGAATACATTCTGACTTTGCATTGTGCACATATTTGTCTTAGGAGTGATTTCAGGGGAGGACAGTGGGGAGCGGCTTGAGGGAGGGTGTGATGCTGTCTTTCAGTGCTGATCCAGATGATTCTCTAAGCAAATGATTCCTCAAGGCCACCTGTGGAGTAAACAGACACAGCTTGGGAGGGTTGACTGGTGCCGCAAAGGGCTAAGACAAAAATATTTATAACTTTTTCAGTGACAGAGGAAAAATGTAAATATCTATAGAGTATTGAAAGCAAATAGGAAGAGAAAATAAGTTCAAATTGATCAGGGTCTCAAGGATAGGAAAAGAGAGGATGAGGCGTATTTTCAAATTATTTCAGCTTTGGGTTTGGAGGAAAGAAAGTTTTGCCTTCTAGTAACCAGACTCCCTGTGAATCAGATTAGGCTGCTCCCCAACATTTGTCCATATGCAAACTCTGCTCTCCATGTCTCCTTTCAGTCAGTAAGTTCCCCAGCTCTGATTACCTCCAATACATGAGCTCATTTCTCTGCACTTACTCCCACATGCTTGACATCGATTTGCAACATTAATGAAGTAAGTACCCAACTACCCTCGTTCATGAGCTATTACCTCGGTATTGATCGTAGCCTTAATTGACAATTACTTGAATGGGCCGGCCTACACTGAGCTTTTATTAATTTTCCGTTGTGATCTTTACTAAACTTCATTGCAGTTGTGCAACCATGTAAACTCCCCACGGTGGCTGACTGAAATGGAAAATTCCACTGGCCATTTCCCCAACCTATTTATCCTGGAAAATAAATAATTTTGTATTGTTAAATTTGATATCGGGATTCTAAGCTTCGGTTCTGTGAAAGAGAATCATGCCTTTGCAGTGAAAATAAATAGAATTTGCTAAATTATTTTCCCTTCACTGCCCTTTCAGAGCACTCGTGGTACCCAAAGACTTGGTTTACCTCCTCTCCATGTGGGGCGACAGTGAGCCCTGTGCTACTATTATGTTCGCACAACATATCCCTTTGTGGGTGATTTAAATTAACAGTGAGAAAGGCACAGGGAGGAGGATATAGATTATATGGATCCCAGAATTTTTATTGCTTCCAGCCAATCCCGTAAGTAGGTAATATTTCTTTGCCAGTCTCATCATCACCACCAAAAGCACCAACAACAAAACCCTTATTTGAAGTCCTCCTCAAATAGTAAACAGAATATATGAGAAGTGCCCAGACTCTGTTGGAAATGACAGTTAAGGCGTCACCACAGAGAGCTTTTAGGAAAAGGGAGGGTTTGCTTACCCATACTCTTCCTGTATGCTCTCCTCCTTCTCCATGTTGACTCCAGAAAGCAGAAGCAGTTCTGGCTCTCCCTCTTCCTCAGCCTTACACTGGCCTCCTTTGAAAACCTTACTGTTCGCTGCATTATCTTTGAACATGCTGGGCTGTAAATATGCATATTAGGTTGAATGATACCCATACTTGGAAAATAGAAAGGTGCAATTATAGGGGCTCGTCTTTCTCACCTGTGACTAGGATGGGCTGAGTTTGAAGCAGACGATAGGACAAAGTGATGTGAAGATGTGACTTCTCTGAGTAACTCCCAGCAGTGCGTATGCTGTGACATCAGACTGACTGGAGTTGAGATTCCCTTTGTTATGAGCTACTAGAGTAGAGCCAGCCACCGCTGTGGTCCCTGCAGAGAACAATCGGTAGCAGAAAGGGAAGAGTTCAAAAGCTGACCCACCAAGGAGCTGCTTGATTCTTGTTCTTGCTTCTCTAGAAATACAACTAGTAAATGTCCACAAAATCTTCAGGAAAAGCATTGATTGGCATCCCACTAATTCAACTTTCAATTAAGTGTACTGGTTTTGGTCTTGTTTGGTTGACCATTACACATTTATAGGAAGTCAGTGATAGGGAAATTAGTTCCTATGAGAGAAGACATCTGAAGGTGAAAAGCCTCACATGGCCCAGTTGGAGGACAATCACCGCTGTCTTGGATGAAAGGCAATGAATGACATGTGGTGAGAAACGCTCTTCTCCAAGAGTCACATTTACCACAGCTTAGTGTCTCCAGATCTTACTGTAAAGTAAGGGAAATGGTCCGTACAACCTCAGAGGGAATAGTGAAAATAGTAGGGAGGTTTGTGAGTGGCTCTTAGTGTGACCTTCACGTTCCTCATTTTCCTCCCTTGTACGGTGAGCTGCTATTGAGCTGGTTACCTGAATGATTCCTTCCACTTCCCAGGTTCTTCAATAAAATGTCAACGTGTCTGGCTCCAGTACCCAGTTACATAAACACTAATCTGTGTGTTGTTCGAAGGTTAGTTTGCAGGTATGGTTAACATCCACAGTCAGTTGACTTTAAGGAGTGTTTTGTTTTGTTTTGTTTTGTTTTTTAATATGGGCAGAGCTTGTTCCACCAGTTGAAAATTCCTAAAAGCACACACTAAGGTTTCCAGGAAAAGAAGAAAGTCTGCCTTAGGCTGCAGCATTAATTTCTGCCATTTCCAACTTGCCAGCCTGCGCTAAAGAGTTTGGGGCTGTCAGGCCTCACAATTATGTGAGCCAGCTCCTTAAGGTAAACCTATTTGGTACATTTACATCCTATGGATTCGTGTCTCTGGAGAACCTGACTGATAGCTCTGCAAGAGAGATGGTAACTCTCCTGTGGGTTGGTCAGGGGTAGCTAGTATCTTCTTGTCCCAGCCTGTTTCCTCTCCTTTCCTCTCACGGATTTTGATCCCTACTAAATCCTGTCTTTGATCCCTACTTGATCCCTATCTTCTGCCACATTCTGCTTCCCAAGAAATCAACTGCAAATCAGAGAAACTGCACCCCCTCTCCACCTCAGGTCTTATTATGGCGTGACGCCTTAAGGTGTTACTACTTTCTGGGCGACAGTTAGGTAATTCAAAGTGTTGATGTAGCAAAAAGATTCGTTTTATTTTTCTTTTTCCTTTTCCTTTTCTTTTCTTTGGTGGTGGTACTGGGCTTGGAACCTAGGACTTCATTGGTAAGCACTGCATCACTGAGCTAAAATCTATAGCTTCCACTTACTTATTTTTATATCCAGTTTTTCTATAGCTATCAATGTCAAAAATGGGAACAGAGTTGGTGCTGAACCCCATCTTACTCTAGCATTAATATCCATCCATGCATACATGAACTAATTGAAATAATAAAACCATACCCATCTTATGTAGGTATGCATGTGAATAAAATTCTAATTTATGCTTAATTATGTCTTATAAAATGTTAAAAGTGTATTTAGGTTGTTTTGATAAATATTTCCAGAACATAAATTTTGTGAGCACCTATTTCTTTATGGTCATAGGAAATAAAATTTCAATTTGTATTTTTATTTATGTCACCAAAAAGTCTGATGAGGCAAAGAAAAAAAAAACACTTAATAGCAAACAGTATTGGAATATGATTTTTTAAGGTAAGAGAAATTAAAATGTAAGTTTATGGAGAAAAAAAGTAAAGTTTCTGTGTATCAGGTAAAAACTTGGTGTGTATGTTTCTCATGGTGGATGGTGATATCAAATTGCTTTGGGGGTCAGGCATGGTGGCATATGCCTGTAATCCCTGCTTCTTGGGAGGCTGAGGCAGGAAGGTCAGAAGTTCAGGGCCAGCATCGGCAGCTTAGTGGAGATCCTATCTCTAAATGAAATATGAAAATGGTTGGGGCTGTAGCTCAGTGCTAGGGTGCTTTCCTAGCATTCATGAAGCCCTGAGTTCAATACCTTGTACTAAGAAAGATATTGCTATGGGTTTAAATATTATAAAGAGTGATATAAACTTTTACCATTAAGATGATTCACCTTTTACTGTAAACTTCTCCTTTAAAAATCACTAAGCTTATGATTAAACATTTTAGATGTTAACCTAAAAATCTGACATGAGGTACACAGTTTGTAAAAAAAAAAAAATTTAGGGTTCTGTGAACAAAATTCAGTGATCACTGGTGTGTGTTGCCTGCTGGCCTCTGAGGTCTTTAACAACTGAATGTCTCCATGTCCCTAACTAAATGCAGGTCCCAAGAGCATTATCTTCTCCAGAGTGCTGAGTACATCACTGAAATGCAAAGTTAGGACAGTTCTCCTCTAGTCCCCACCAAGGCTCTTTAAAGTTAAGGACTATACAACAGTGGTCTGTGAGGCAAGAGAGACCAATTCACAAGTTCCCCAAAGGAATTTAAAAGACTCAGGTGCTCCCTCCTCTCCCTCGTCCATGCCCCAGCTCAAGCTTTCTCTCTGCTCTCTCTTCTAGGGTCCCTTAGAGCAAAAGAAAACAGAGTATCTGAGAATGGTTAACCCTGCACTATTGCTGCTCCTGAAATAGTAATTAGAACTAGAAGAGTGAGTGTCATTTATTGAGTGCTTACTATGTACCAGGAGGGAAAAAAGAATTTTCTGGCATCAGAAGTCTTCACAGGAAGGGAATTATGCTTAGGGAATCCCTTGATAAGCTTTCTTAAAGATATTTTTAAAAATCACCCAGAGAATGAGTGAGGAAAGCAAGAAAATTTAGGGGGTAAATTATGATGGTGTTAGTGGATACCTTTATAAATGTTAATTCTGTGGTAGGTACTATTTTAACTACTATATCTAGAAATCCATTATATCTTCACATCTAATCTCTCATTTTAAAGATGGAAAAACTGAGGTTCAATGATTGGGTAACATGTCTTAATGCAAGAAAAGAGTAAAGTATTGTTCTTATTATAATGCTATGCCTATGCTTACTACTCTCTTACAACTATCAGGATTTTTAAAATAGAAAGGTAGCACTTAAACCAGTGTTGTGCCTTCTCATCAAAAAGAAATAGAACCGAGACCAAAACTAGATCATACATAGAAAATTAACAGTGAAAATTCAGCATTTCAAATCAGTAGCAAAAATGAAAACAAATTTATGCTTTACCCCTAAACCAAATTATGTTCCAGATGGATCAAATATATGTATATGTAAATATCAAAGTATCAAAAATTTTTAAGTAGTAGGAGAAAATATTGAAATATTTTTAAAATTTTGGCATTTCCTTTCAGGCAGATGAAACCTCTATTTTTTAAAAAAGACTTGTACCTTTAGCTACATAATATTAAAAACTTTATATGGAAAAAACACTTTAATCCAAGTTATGGGATAGTACAATGCAAATGAAAAATGCAAATACATGCTAAACAAATTGAGAGACTCATAATAGTATATTTTAAAGCTTCTATAAATAACAAAAAGGCCAAACTACTTCAATAAAAAAGGGGATGCAAACATGCAAGTCAAAGAAAAATAAATGCAAATGGGACCATGAATGTCTAAGTAGATATCAAAAGCCAAAAGTGCAAGTTAAAAAACAGAAGATATCAAAGATAAAGTTAGCAAATATTAAAATGTTTGAAAATGTGGCTGCTGAGAAAACTTAAGCAGCTGTTAGTACTGTACACAGTAAACTTTTTAAAGCACATTGGCAGTAGCTATCCAACAGAAAATGTGTATTCCCTTTGTCCCAAAAGTTCAGAGGGGAACTGCCCCCAGTCCTCAAGCACCGAGGTTGAGCCCCTATTTCTTTCCCTCCTTGGTCTCTTCTGCGTCTCAGCCTGGAATGCAGGGTCCTCCATTATCTGAGGCCACCAAAAGCCCAGTGCCACACTCCAACATGAAGCTGGCCCCCCAAGTCTGTCAGGTCTCAGCACTCCGCACCTCATGCCTCTGTCGTGCTTTGCATCTTCCGGAAGGAATCTCCCTTCTTGCTTTCCCCTTCTCCCCACCTGCTTCAAGATCCAGCCCCAAGCTCCATCTTCTCCAGACGTCAGGTTCTTGGCACAGCCCCTGACACCAAGTAAAGCTCAATAACCACAAGCCTTTGATAATTTCACGTTGCTAACATGTGCACATCTACTCTTTCAGGTGGCTCCCTGACCCTACTGGTATGTTTTTTCCACAGTTAGACGGAAAGTTTCTTAAAGACAAAGAATATTGCTGGCTTCCCATGTAGAGGCATTATAGTTTACACTGGATTTTTAACATCAGACAGACCTGGGTTGGACCTCCATCTATTTTTTTTCCTATTTTGAAGTGATTTCTGCAGGCACTAGTCCATAACTCATGCCAGATCCTCTGTTTTTAGGAGGATTTCAACCTGCTGTCTGTCCTGCCTGCACAATCTCATTAATATCAACAGACAATCAAACCTACGGCAGGTGTTCAATGAAGTCTTCCTGCAAGTTAGTTAGGCAGAGATCTAAACTGACATGTGTTATACTAAATACACCCTAAATGGTATTTTCTGTGTGCACGCATTTTCTTTCTTTTGTTCATTCCTCTAAGAAATCCTCTTTGTTTGCTTTTAAGTGAGGTAGTAAGTGTTCTCAGTTTAGAACCAGCCAAAGAATCAATCTTGACCCAGTTGCTAGGATACTATGTCTTTGGAGCAGAAGTTAAGAATCAATTTCCCTGCGCTTTAAAGAACATGTATTTAAGTAAATCACTTCCTCAGAAATATTGATTCATTCCAAAAGCATTTAAATAATATGAAAAACAAGAGGATTTCTATGTAGAAGCTGTATCTTGACAGTGAAGTAGATTTGCACTTAAGAAAAATATATTTACACAAATAATCTACATCTTGTTCAAGAGAGAAAATAGGCTTTAATGTAGTAATAGGACTATTTATGTAATGAACTCTCCCGGGCTGCTGCATAAATAATAACTCCTGAACTGTGAGAATGTTTTTATATGAAAACTGGCTTTGTGAACTTTCCTAAGAATTTGGTTCTGTGATTACATCAAAGGCTAAACTTTATGAGCAAATGAAGCACTGTGAAGACATGAGGACATTTCTAATGGAAACATCATAACTAGAAGCAGATTTCCTTAAAAGATATGTTTGGAAAATGCTTAGGCGTCTTAATGGCCCCAGTGTCTTGCAAAGGATTCTGGTGGTCAGCAACTGTCTTCCCAAGCATCTCGGACATCAGCAAGCCCTGCTCTGGGGTGGGACGCCAGCCAGCTTGTGAAATGTTTCTGCAAGAACTTTTGGCTGCCTTAACCGCCTAAAGCAAATGTTTGTTTGCTGCACTACGCGAATCAAATGCTTTTGTGTGAAAACACTTACTAGAGAAACAAATGTTTGTTTTGGTAATCGACATTTGGACTGTTGGAACATTACCACTTAGGATATTGGTCTGAGAAATATACATTTAATTTGGAAAGCACCAGTTAGGATCAAGCACCAGGTAGGACACAAATCAAGGCGGGAAGTCAATGAGGTTGAAACTGGACCCACGTTTTTCACTTCCTCTTGTCAGAACTGAATAGGAAAATGGTGCCTTATTTTACATGTAACCGAGCAAGAGTATAAAAGAAAAGCGTGGTTTACGTCCTTCTAGAAATATATCACTTATAAATTATCAAAGATATCAGCAAGAGTGTATTTATCTAGTATTAATATTTAAAGGCCATTTTCCTATTGAATGTACCACATGCTCCATATTAATCTTTTAGATTAGACCTAGAACAAATTGATGTTTCCTAAATGGAAGATTTCTTCTTGTAGTTCACTTTATTATCTATGCTAACTGGCAGGAGGAAAGGTACAGATACTCCAAAACAGCAGGAGATGCAGAAATAAGCTTTGGCTTCTGAGAGCATTAAATTTTTTAGTAGCAGAAAGAAACTAATTACATTTTAAGGGAGAGAGACGTTTAGAAGGAAAGTGGGGTGGCACGAGGGTCATTTATGTATTAAACATATTGTATTTAGCTATAGATGACACATAAATAGAAAGCCAGATTATACTGAGTTTGAGACTGAGGGCCAGAGCTAAAAATTTTAATTAAAATATGTTATCTATTTTTAGTTCCATGAAAACCATAAGTAAATGTAAATATATTGGATTGTTTACCATTATGTTTTTTTCATTTTTGTGAAAAAAACTGCAATATCTAGGTCCATCTGAAAATTTATGAGCTGAAACCTACAATTAAGTCACTATTTACTTAATAGCACAACAGAATTACAGCCCAAATTCTTTGTTGCTTGCTTTAGCCCTATTTGATCCTTAGCTAATAAAGATATATTCTGAAATAGAAAGGTAAGCCAGTAACAGTTCAGAATAGCCAAATGGGAAGAAGTATTCACTAAAACTTCAAGAAACATGACTTTGTATCCTGAATCCACCCATTACTAACTGTTTCCATTTGTAAATTTCATGAGAAAGATAAGTGATATAATGCATGTATATTTGAAGTACTTTGAGCTCCCCAAGAACTTAATAATTCAAAGTATTACAGTAAATTCCCATTTATTCTGAATCTAAACTACCAGAAAGCTGAAATAATGAGAATTTTTTGTGCAATTTACAAAATGGTAATGTCCCTGGAGCACTACAAGATCCTAAATTCTTTTGAACAGTCACAGAAAGATTAAATTTTGTTCAGCATAATTCTGTGGTAAGAATGTTTGATAGAGTTCTAATTCTTTGAAGATAGTAATTAATCCATGTGTAGCCTATGGTAATTCTCCTCTTAAACTTCAATACAGAAATAGTATCTTTGCATTTCCAGGAAACTTTGGCTTTGTGTTTTTAGCCTAATCAGACCCTAAAATGTATAGCACATCATAAACTTTACAGAGTTTGATAATGGATCACATGTGTCCTACTTTATTAGCTATAAATGATTCAGTGTGCTTGCCAGTAAAAGAAGCTCACTCAAGTAGGTTAAAGGAAAAGGTAGGATTTCATACCCTGATACTGGGCTGTCTTAGAGCCCAGGTCTATGAGAGGCATGCACTGGACTGGAGGACTGGGACATCTTGGGAAACCCTGGGAATTTATGCTTTTTCTCTTTTATCTCTATCCCTTGTGCATACCTGCTTTCTTCTCTTCTGAGTTTGCTAGCCAACTTCTCCCACTCTCTCTAGGTGGGAAATCTCACTCTTTATGGTAACAGACATGATTATGGGGCCAAGCATTGCAGAGATACCTATACTACTTGGCTCAACTTGGACTGTAAGAAGAAAATAACAAAGGCTCCAAAACACAGCCCTCCCCAACACATCAACCTCTCTGTTCCTCAGCACACTGACCCAAGGAGGAAGGGGAAGATCATAGCCTCCTCCTTCCTGCATTCCCCATGGTGAATCAACATCCACCATGGCCTGAAAGCGAGGCAGGTAGAAAAGATGGCTTGAGGGGTCTGGAAGACCTACACCAATAGTTCTTAAATAATTTGAACTCAAAATCCCTTTATTTAGAGCCTTAAAAATTATTGAAGATGCCAAAAAGCATTACAGAGTTTATGTCGCTTATATTTATCAACATATACCATAGAGCCCTTCCCAGTCCTCATTGTGGCCCAAGAAGTTTATATGTGTAATCCCACGGAAAAGGTATTGGAATTGTAATGAGTTAATTCCAATCTACCACTTCCAGTACAACCCATGGTGAGGATAAAGACACTAAGGCATATCTGTAGTTATGGGGAGCCAAGGGGGTCCTGAGTCCAGCCACCATGACGATTATCCAGGACAAAGGCTTTTTACCCAGGGCCGAATTCAGGTTTTATGACTTTGTCTTGAGGATGAGTGACTGTAAGAGTGGCGGGAAGTAGGTGAGTGCTGTGAGCTGGGCTAGGTAGGAGGCGTGAAGTCACCTCCGCAATATGCAAAGAGAAGGCTATGCAGAAAGAGTAATCTGCATAACACAGCTGAGATAGTATCTAATGTTTTGGGGTTGGTGCTTCAGCTCTGACGGGTAATCTTTCAAGCCCCAGGAATTCATATCCTCTATCTTTTGCTGGAACCCAGCACCTCGGCAAGGCCAGTATGCATTGCTTAAAGCCAGCTGAAGGGATAAGGAAAAAGGTCCTACCCAGTTCAGGCTCAGACAAAATGGAGGCAATTGCTCCTCCTTCAAGGAGAGCTGCCCAGGTGGTCCTCCACGACATACTATTTTAGAAACTAAAACTGAGAAATTTAAAGCTATTTAATTTTTAATTCATAAAAAATAACAAATAACAAACTCCCTGTATGTTACTATTGGTAACATTTTAAAAATTGAAAATGACTATATTTGCTAAAATAAAAAAGACATCAGTGAGAAAAGCAGTTTTTTATTACATTTTTGCAAATGTCATTAATGTCTCTTTAATGTCTGGGTTGATAAAAATAGCTAGATTCTCATTATCTACTTTTGAACTGACTAGGTGAAGTGCTATTTTGGTTGAATGTAGGAAAATGGTCTTACAGGTATGTATTTGGGGAAGGAAGGAGTATTTTAGTAGCATTTGCACATAAAGAAGGCTATTTCTTTCTGATATTATACCAAAACCTGACAAGTAATACAATGTAGAGTAGGAAACCATATCAGTAAATATTTTCTGCTCAGATACAATTCAACTTGTACTTTGACTCCTACAGTTTTGTAACACCATGCATTAGCTAAATATATATATATATATATATATATATATATATATATATATATATATATATTTGTCTTGTTCTTTGAGGCAGCCTTGCTATATAGTGTAGGCTGGCCTTGAACTCATTGTGTAGCCAGGCTGGCCTCTGCTTCCTGCCTCAGCCTCCTGAGTGCTGGGATTACAGGCATATGCTACCATGCCTGGCTAAAAAGGAGATCAGTTATACAGATGGTGCAAATGTTGATCCATTTCACTTTGCAAAATATTTTATAAAATACTATTTTCAAATATTATTACCAATTTACCAGAATGGTTTTTAAGTATTTGGAAGCTGTCATATTCATGGCAACAGATATAAGTTCTCCAAAGTTCTAATTTTCACTTTCAAGTAAATTCATAAATTTTAGCATTGGCAACACGTACTGTCAACTGTATGTCTTGTAGTGACAGGCTGACCTAATTCATTTTCGAGAAAATGCCTTCCACATGTACAAGTCTCAGTAACCATTATTTAGCTGTCTGTTCTTTCAAAAAAAAGTGGGGTAGTTGCTGACAACTCAAACAAGCAAACAAGAGCTTTTCCACAAGACAACGTCATCATACTGGTATGTGGAAGTGCTTTTTCGCTCCCAGTACTCAAAACTGAACCCTAGACTTTGTGCCTGGAAGGCCACCTAGCCATATCTTCAGCCTTTTTAAAATTTTACTTTGAGACAGAGTCCTGCTAGGTAACCCAGGCTGGGCTTGAATTGGGATCCTTCTGCCTCACCTTCCTGAAAAGCTGGGATTATAGGCATGTGCCACCACAACTTGCTTGCCAAAGTACTTTATAGATACCTCCTCTTTTGTCATGTAGAACATTAAAGACACATGTAATCATGGGTCAATATTTAATGAAATTAGTAAGTATTAACTGTTTCATCAAGAAAGTTAAGTGAAACTGTCTTTTCTTTTTTCCTGTATATGCACTGTGGTGAAGAATGTAACAACCACTAGTACAATCAGGTGTTCCTGCTAAGCCACCGTGGTTTTCCCCATCAGCCTGGTTACCATCAGCCCAAATGTCAACATAGTGAAGAAGGCAAATATCTTTTCAGTGCTTTTATGATAATAGTTTTGTCTCCTCATATTGTTAAAGGGTCTCACAGGCAACTCACGACCACAGCCAGGTGTCTGTGGCCCACACTTTGATATCAACCTGCTAAACCTACATTCATGTTAGCTAAAATCATTGAGCAATCTAATTATTATGGTGTAACATCCAAAAAGAAAATGTACATCTATATTAAATGGCAACATCACATTAAAAAGTTATGAGCAAATTATAGCCTGTAATAATCAGTTCTAGGGAAAATTTAAAAACTCAAACTGCTAAATTGGGAAAGAACCTCGAAGATGATGGAGTTAAACACAGCATCCAGTGGAAGAACATTTAGAACAATGAATGTCATGATTTCTACTTGACGGGTTACTTCGAAGGAACTGAGAGGGCCATGCCATGAGCCATGTGGTATGGCAATTTTCCAAATCACATAAAAATAAAAATGCAAGGAAATCCTTAATGCTTAAGCTGCCACAAATAGGTTTGTGAGTTAAGAGAACAATAATAAAAACAATAACACAAAATGAAATTTTCAAAGGAGGTAGTTACAACATACAATAATATCAATTCAGATCACCACTATGAATTCCTTGACTCATAGGTCTGGAGCTACACAGAGATTTAATGTGGGCATAATAAGGTACTAGCTGTACAATTTTGAGCATGTATTACTGTACCCTAAATGTCTATTAGGACTCAGTTTTCACCT